TCTCTTGCATGCTTATTGCACTTGTAGTGTAAATCCCCTTTGCTAGCCTTGTTAGCCTACCAAAGTAGCATGTTTGTTAAGCATGTATGGGCTCCATTTCAGCATGTTTTTGGTCATTATTTTGCATATCATAACTCTGTCTAAAGTTGGTTTGATAGCCCCTTGCATGTATCATGCACTTGTAGTGCATTTCCATGAAATTGCCTTAACATGCTTTGTGCTTTGAGCCTTGTTTTTAGCATGATTTTGGCTTGACCCAAAGAATATTTTACCCTTGTTTTACCATGATTAAGGTCTGTTTGGTGTTATTTTGGTCATGCTTGCATTGTTTTGTATAGCCATGGTTCAACCTAGCTTGTTGGCTTTGAATGTCGAAGTCATTAGTATGCATTGCTAGGACTATTCTTATGATTTGGCATCATTCCATATGATATATCAGTGCATATTTCATGGTCATACACTTGTATTTGTCACTCTTGCATTGCTTTGAAGAGTTGTTTTGTGCTTCAAGAATGGACCATTATGCATGCCTTTATGCTTAGGCCTTTAGGATGCCATCTCAGTAGGTTTTGGGGCTTATTTTGACATGTCATAACTCTGATTTTCATTAGTTAAGCCATGCCATGTTTGGTTGTAATAGGTGTAGTGTAACACCCCTTTGTTGGCCTTGCATGCCTCATGTTTTGTGTTCACCTTTCTAGCATGTTTTGGCCTCATTCCATGCATGTTCTAGCCTTGTTTTGGTCTACCTTGGGACTGTTTTGGTTCACCTTGGCCCTTTGGGGCTTGGTTGATGTGGCCTTGGTACAAGCTCCTTGGCTAGCTTTGAGCTTTAAGTCCATTAGCATGCTGTGCTTATCCTATGCGCATGATTCGACATCACTCTTGACATGATTTCAGAGCTTACTTCATTGCCACATTATCATGATTGTCCCCCCTTTGCTCATGTTTGGGTGTTGTGTCTTTATGCCTTAATTCTTGGGCCATTGCATGAACATGTTTGTCTCGCATTTCATGTCACCAATTCATTACTTCGGCCACTGATTTTGGCATGCTTGAGAGCTACCCATGTTAGTGTAAGTCCATCTCACTATGTTGTTGTATGCTTGTTTCATTTTGCATGTTGTTGCATGTTATACATGTTCACATGTTTAGGTTATATGCCTATTGCCTATTGCATGCTTGTGTTGCTTTGTTAAGTTCATTATACATGTATTACATTGGTCTAAGTATACTTGCCTTTGCATGTTATTAAATGTTAGCCTATTGACATGTTGTTGCATGCTCATCCATCTTGCATACTTGTTAAGTTACATGCTTGTTTGAATGCTTGTCTTTGCATATTGTTATATGTTAGTTGCCTTGTATAGCATTGTTGCTTGCATGCTCATGTTGCATTAGTTTGCTTGCATGCTTAGGTTGCATAGCATTGTGTGCGCATCTCTTGCCTCTTGAATCAACCATGATAGAGGTTAGGGCCCTTATGTGTTTTTGTGCATTTCATTTGATATCAAATTGCACACTTGATGCCTTTGGCCATCATGCATTGAAATACGTGATTGGTGGCCCGAGGGTCGAAAACCAAACCCCCTTGAGTTCATAGCATGATAGGGAGGATGGTCGTGCACACATTGTCTTGTAAATTCCTTGTCATGCACTGTCTGTCCTCTGCTGCAGGAAAAACAGAGTTCTGCAGGAACAGATGGCCGGTCAGCCCTCTTTAGTGCCGACCAACTACTAGAGTCCAGCCGATGGCCCCACTTTTGGTCGGTGACCACTTCTCAATGGCCGGTGGTCCTATCTTTTGGCCAGTGACATCCCACAATGCTCAGGGAGTAATTCAGAGGCATCTCAAGGATTTTCACAGTTCTCAGAGGTGTAGAACAGTACAAATAGAGGCAACATGTGGCATGACAACGGGTTTCCGAGCGAGGCAAATCGAGCATGCATGCATTTGACCCTCTTCTCGAGACAGCTTTACTGCTTTAGTAGCTTAATTAATTTGTTAATTAATTAAGGTTTTATAATATTTAATTAGCTAGAGTAGTTAATTATTTATTTGGTTTGTATTATTCTTTCGGACTCTCCGTCGAGAGGGCAAATTTGTAATAAGTGTGCGTGCGTGTGTGAATGTCTTCCAATCCCACGTCTTTCTCCCTTTTATTTACTAGCTTTTGATGTTTAGTTTAGGGCATGTTTCAATTAGCATACTTATGGTCGCATGCTTGCATCCATTCATTCGTATTGCACGCACCGGGCTCGGCGCATCATACTAACTGCATTGTATTTCAATTCCTACTTGAATACATGTATCAAGTTGCATTTCACATGACATTTTAGAATAGCCGAGCCTATCTTAGTTGCATTTTGTATGTGTTGCATTAGCCATTGCTAACATGAACTAGGATCATGCATTTGATTACTAACTAGTTTCCTGTTTTGGCTCAGAGTACTAGGTAAGCATTTATGCTTTAGCATTTTGCATGTGTGTGAGTGTTAACATGACAGCATGCTTGCCATGAGGCTAATTGCTTATGTGATATAACTGCTTGAATGCCTGTGAGTGAAGGTTGGGTTGCTTGAGTTGGAATAATTCGTCGAAATCCGTGTTTTAGCCTACTTGCGAGTAGCAAACTTCAATCTATTTTCAAAACAAACAAATATGCGATACTTTGTTCCAACTTAGGCAATCCAGTCTATACTTGTATACTGTGTGCATCACATAGTAATTCTAGGCTAATAAACCGAAATAAGAGCACATGTGTTTTCAAAAACTCGATATCATGCTTAGTAGTGGCCAATCCTTGATCGGGCGAGCGGGGGTGCTCATGAAATGACCTTCCCCAATCGTACCCAAGTTCCCGAGCCGAGACAACTTTGGTGATGACGGACACGTGGCCTTAGGCAACGAGTCAGGGTCTCCTAAATCCCCCCAAAATAAAATATTTAGGTGGCGACTCAGTATCTGGCCAAGCAATCCATGTTTGGCACTTCTTTCTTAAAAATCTGTTTTCCAAAACGATTTGTCGGATTTGGACTCTTTGGTGATTTATCCGTCTTGCATTGCACTTTGCGAGACTAGATTCAGAACCGTGACTATTTGAGTCCGAACTGTAGCATGAGGCCCACGGGCGCGTCTACACCTAGACTGACCAATGTCATCGAAGTCTGAAGTCTCTTGGGTTTGGTTGGATATTATCGCAGATTTGTAAAAGATTTCTCCAAAATTGCCCTACAGCCTACTTAGTTGACACAGAAAAGGGTATCATTTGATTGGACTGATTTGAGAGAATCAACTTTTCAAGAATTAAAGACTTGGCTTGTGACTGCCCCAATTCTCACCTTACCCTTAGGTACGGATGGTTTTACTATTTTTAGTGATGTGTTTTATAAAGGGTTGGGATGTGTGTTGATGCAAAATGGAAAGGTAATTGCATATGCCTTTCACCAACTGAGACCACATGAAAAGAACTACTCGACTCATGATTTGGAGCTTGCCGCCGTAGTTTTCGCATTGAAGATTTGGTGCCATTACTTGCACTACAACAAAAGTAACCTATGGTGACGAAAAGTAGTGAAGAAAATAAATTTCATCACTAAATAAGAATAATCTGTGACGAATTATAAAATTTGGTCACATATAATAAAAAAATAAAAATAAAAGGTGACGAAATTTTTTTTTGTCAACAAATACTTCTTTTTAGGTGAGGAAAATTTAAGTTTTGTTATCAAAAGTTTTCCCGCTAATTTTTTTTTGTGGCGCCAAAATTTTGAGACTTTTGGTAAGAAAAAAATTTGTCACCAATTATAAAATTATTAGTGAGGAATATATTTTTGTCACCAATAATTTTGTGTATATTTTTTTTGAGAAACTTGATTTTAAATATTTTAAGACCATTTGGTGAGAAACATATTTTTGTCCCTAATAAATCTTAATATTTTTAGACTTTTTAGTGAGCAAATTATTTTGTCACTAATTTTGGAGGGAAGATTTTGACATATTGGGCGGTAATGGAAAAAAATAGACTACTAACTTTTTCCTCCCTTTTATTTTTGTTTATCAATTTTCTTCTCTCTTCCCCGCTTTCTTTCTCTCTCTCTCTCTCTCTCTCTCTCTAAACAAAACACAAGTTAATTAGCTTTCTAAGTAACCTATGATGACGAAAAATAGTGAAGAATATAAATTTTGTCACTATAAGAATAATCCGTGACAAATTATAAAATTGTCACATACAAGAAAAAAGTAAAATAATAGGTGACAAAATTTATTTTCGTCAATAAATATTTCTTTTAGGTGAGGAAAAATTAAATTTCGTCACCAAAGATTTTCTCTCTAATTTTTTCGGATGGCACCAAAATTTTGAGACTTTTAGTGAGAAAAAAAAACTGTCACCAATTATAAAATTATTAGAGATTTCGTCACTAATAATTTTAAATATTTTTTTTTAAAAAAATTATTTTTAAATATTTTGAAACTATTTGATGAGAAATATCTTTTTATCGTCAATAATTTTAATATTTTAAAATTTTTAGTGACAAAATTATTTTATCACAAATTTTGAAGAGAGAACTTTGAGATTTTGGCGGTAATAAAAAAAGAACTCTACTAATTCCCCCCAAATCCTTTTTTTTGGTGTTTTAGTTTTTCTCTCATCCCTCTCTTGCAAAACAAACATTCTCTACCTTCAACCCTCCTTCAGCTTGTTCTCCTCCTTTAGCGCTGCCACCGACGTCACTCGTTCTCCTCCTTCAATATCGCCACAAGTAGGACTGGGTAACGGATGTGCCAACTAGGCAGACCCGTCCGACTCAACATGTTTTGGGCGGATGCATGATACGTGACAAGCAAATACGGGTCCAAAATTTTTAATTTCACGGGTTCAAATTGGGTGACGGATTGTTCGTCAATTTCAATCTCGTACCCGACCCGAAAACCCCCATTTTTTCTTTTCTTTTCTTTTTTTTTTTCCTCCACCTATTTCCCCATTTTTCCCCTGTCTCACCCCCATTTTTTCATTTCACGTTTTTCTTGCCCTAGCTTCTTCCTTCGACAACTCTCTCTCTCTCACCTCTGGCTCTCTCACTTAAATGGGGGCGAGCAACGATCGGAGATTGGCAACAGTGGCGGTGAGCAGCGATCGAAGCCTCAATTGGAAGGTATTCTTCTCTTCTCTTCTCTTCTCTTCTCTTCCTCATCTTCTTCTCTTCTGAACCTGTGTTCTATGTTCTCAACCTTCTCTTCTTCTCCTATTCTTCTCTTCTGAACCTATGTTCTGTGTTCTCGATCTAATCACAAATTCCTTTTTGATGGAGTGGGCACGTGATTGATAAAACTATTTGTAAGCTAATTGATAAAACTAGCAATTGAAAGCCATTGATAAACCTATTTTTAAAATCGGGTTTTGCAGATTTCAGTTCTAGTTCTTCTATCATTGATTTGGAGCTTTTGCAAATTAAGCTAATCTTCTTTCTTCAATTTTATTGTTTGATGATGATGGTGATGATTTCTGGGGTTTTCATTTGTTAATTTATTAGTATAAGAACTGTGATTTTGAATTTTCTGGGTTATTTGTGTGAATTGCTGGTTGTTCAAGTAAAGTTTTTTATCAAATGCAAAATACTTGTTTTTTCGGGATTAATAAGAGTTAACACTCTGTTCTTTTATTCTTTTCTTTTCTTTTCTTTTCTTTTTTCTTTTTTTTTGTTTTTGTTTTTGTGTGTGTTTTGTTTAGTTAACACTCTGTTCTTTTATTCTTTTCTTTTCTTTTTTTCTTTTTGTTTTTGTTTTTGTTTTTGTGTGTGTGTTTTGTTTCCAACCTAATAATTAAAAAGTTAATGACTTGATGTCAATGAGAACATAGAAATTTGTTACTAAGAAACTGTGAATATATCGTTGTCAACAATTTGTAATTTAACTTCAGATTTGTTGTCAACTTGTGATTTAACTTCAGATTACAATGTGAATGTTAGAAACACAAAACTCAAAATAATTTCAAATATAAATAATTTCATAAATTTTGGGCCTGAATTAAAACAGTGAAGAACTACTTGAAAATTAAGTCAAAAAATGGCCCAAAATAGTTTAAATTAGAAAAGATTAACTAGCTCCTCAAATCCTAGAATTAGAATCTTTTAAGTGATTATACAATAGGATTTCTCATACCCACTGATTGTTTGATGAAATGTTTCAAACTAATAATAATGAACAGAATACAGAATGCAGGAACAATTGTTTAATGAAATCTATTTGATGAACAGAATACAAATGCAAGTGTTTTTTATTTTGGTTAGAACTTATGTGTGAGGTGGGAATAAGAATTATCTATGCAAGTGAAAAATTATTTTGACTGGGAATAAGAATTATTTATTTTACATATTTATGTGTGAGTTTTTGGTTAGAACTTTTCTAGTTCTGTAATGGAGTTGAAGCTAGGAGACTAAGCTTCCTAATGCCTCGTAACTCGTAATGCCTCGTCAACTCGTAATGCCTTGATATGTTTATTTTTTTGCAGTTTTGTTGCTAGGATATTTGATCATGCACTGGAAGACTCAAATTCAAAATCAGGCCTTGTACACTCTTTATCTATATGTATATCTTTGTTGGATCCAAAAAGATCAATTCCTTCTATCATTCCTTCCGAAGTCAACACATGTACGAGTCACCTACACCTGTTAATCCTGAGACCGTTGGTGCAATGCTGCCCAAGCTTGGTAAGTGTGTCATAAAATTTTTGTATGTTTGCTTGTGATGTCAAGGTTTCTTTCTACCTTATTTTAAATTTGTTTCTCTACCCACTTCAGATACTTATAATATGAATTTATGGCTATAGCTTGTGCACAGATTGGATGTTTATGTACTTGTCTTAAATGGGAAACTTTTTTCCCCTTCTTTGTTCTGAAACTGATATTTCTGAGTTTCTCTTCTTTGGTTTGAGGTTACTTTGCTTTGCTCTATGTAATATCATGAGCTCATATGTTATGATAGACCATCTGCATTCTATTGATGTGAATTGGTGGTGGAAACTGTTGAACATTGTTTTAAATCTTGTTTTTGTTAACTTTGAAGTTAATTCGTGAATTAAAACACATGATATCTACACTCGTTACCGACATTGGTGGCAAGTTCCCTATACATTGATGGTTTTTGGGGACTAGCCTCCCACTTTTTTTTATGATGAGGATGAGATTATTACATAGTACAAAACGGAAAGATATAAGACAATCAAGAAGAAGAATAAGAAAATCGATGCTCTACCATGTCCCTTCTCATTTGTTGAGTTCATACATATTTATATATGCACTTAAACATGTAAGGTATATATTGAAACACCTTAACTTAGAAACTTGATTAGTTGAGCTAAGTTATTAGGATAGTGCCTTTGGATGACAACTTAATGCTGTGACTTTTGGCCAAAAAAATAGTGGTATATTGAACATTGAGGGCGTGCCCCCTGGTCCTGACTGTTAACCAAGCTGTCAAAGTCCAGGAGTTGTGCAACAAACCTGAAAGACAAACTAAATCGAGATAAGTTTTACTTAAGATCCTTTTATTAAATTTAAGTTCTTCAAAAAGACAAAATGAACAAATTTTCTGAAGAACAAGTTGACCAAAAACCAGCAAGGTTACAATTCCTTATTTCACATTCATTCTAGCTCCATTGAGAATTAAAATAGAAGCTAGCTAAATGTTTTCACATATTTTATAAGCTACTGTAGGCTAAGATTGATTGATAGCTAGAAAGCTTAATAAGTGTTGCAAACTCTCTTAAATAGGAAGTTAATGAAAGAAATCTACTTGATCAGAAATTAAAGTAAGATAAGATAGGGAAGTAAAGAATTGTCATAAAATTAATTTTCTTAATTATGATAAACTAGTAACGTAGACTTAAGATCTATTGTGACTCTGGGTAAACACAAACACACACACACACACACACACACACACACACACACACACAAACATCACATTTAGGACATGCTATTGGCATTTATCTTAGCTTCTTGTACTCCACATATTTGAGTCCCAAAGAAGCCAAAAAGCACATGAGAAGTGGATCACAGGATGCTAAAGTGGAGTGCCAATAGGGCAATCACATGCACACAGACACTTGCAAATTAGTCTTAAACTTATTAGTTGTGAAATGAATTAAACTCAACATTCAGCTTAAGTAAAGTGGTGCTCCATTCTGTTTTACAGAAGATAGCGGATTATAAATTTAGAGTTTCGAATCTTACTACAATAACTCTAAGAGCAAGTGGTTTTATTTTAGATCTCAATTTTCTTCTTTCTTCCTTCCTTTTACGTAGAAAAGTCAGTGTGAAAATTGTTATAATTCTTTCCATTTCAATCTGAAGAGGACATGCCCTCAAGCCAGCTTTGACCATAAGTAACTCCTTTTGCTCAATTTGCTGAGTAAAGTAGTGGATTCAATCCTCAGACTAGTTATGATGATAACTATAGTTGTCTGGTACTACTGTTATTATTATTGTTCTACTTTCTTTTCTTTTCTTTTCTTTTTTGGTGATGAGAGGTAATATAGTTTGACTTATTCTTTTTTTTCCCCCCTGATATAGAAAGTACGGGCTAGATGACAATACAGTTGACTTTATTGGCCATGCATTGGCACTGCATATAGATGATAGTTACTTGGACCAGTGCCATGGATTTTGTGAAGAGAGTTAAGGTGAAACATTTGGTTCCTACTTAAGTTATTTGTTTTATTTTTCCCAGTGTCTCCACTTTGAAAATCTTGAAATGATTTCTACCCTTTATACACCAGTGTTGTGTTTGATCTGTTCAATGCTCTACTATTTTCTGTGTTTCATTTCATATGGTGGTTTAAAGAAACATGGGTCTCATGTTACATTCCATTCTATCAATGGTCATAATCTTAGTTAAAGCACAAGACAACAGGTCTTTCTTTATAATCTCAATCCTAGTTAATTTAATTTGATGAGGTAATACGAGTTGGGAGCTGTAACAACCCTCATACTGTTTATCGACTTATGACTGATTGATTACCGATAACCATCGATTATCGTTAAACTGAATTGATTATGACTGATAATTGAACTGATTAAAGTACTGAACTGACTGACTGAAATTGGAAACCGAATTGATTGAGTATATGTTAGTTAAATTGCTAAACCCATAGGGCCGGGTTTGGGTCGTGACAGGAGCAGCTCCTCTCTCCTCGTTTTCCCTCCTTCAAATTGATGTGAACAGTGAGTGAGGTTTTCCTTTTTGCATATTCTGTTTACAACAGTCAGTGTAATGACCAGCTAATTTACTCCAGCTTTGTTTTTGAAAAGCTATATGCAGAATCTTTAGCTCGCTTCCAGGGAGGATCTCCTTATATTATCCACTGTATGGACTTGGAGAACTACCTCAGGTGTGTTGTCATTGGAATTGCAAGAACCTTTTAGGGGCTATATAATTTATTCTCAACTTTCTCTAACATTATTGATAGGCATTTGCTCGTTTGAGTGCCATCTATGGTGGAACTTACATGCTCAACAAGCCAAAATACAAGGTAAATTTTTATGATTCTCTGATATCCTTGAAACCATATAAATAGCCTTGTTGAGCCTAAGTGTTTTTTACTGGATTGAAGGGCTAAAGGCAGCACCAAGTGAGTGATTCTTTTAACTGGAGAGGGAAAAAATGGATCATTCAGTTAATGCCAAAGATTAAATAAATTCTTTAATTTCCTGCCGAGCAATCAGAAGTTGAAACTGATAGTTTTCATTATCTTTAAATGATTCCCAACAAGTAGCAAAAGAGGAAGAGGATGTTATGCATGGAATGAAAACAGGATGGGTAAAAGGACAAGTGCTTATGGATCATCAAATACCTTGCAAATTCAAGGAAATTTACAAGATGGCTGCACCAACAGAAGGCTATATAGACTAGCCAAAAACACAAAATAATCTGCTATTTCTGTAAACAAGTTTGGTTGATTTGAGGACCTGAGATGAATGTGTGGCAGCACCACATATGATTGATTAAGAAATGGTTATAAGTTGGGTTGGGCTGGGTGTTTAACAAAATGGGTTAAGTGGGTGCTCAGGAAGGTGGGTTAGAATGTTCATCACAAAACTTTGAACTGAATTATATATATGTATCAAATAAAATAAAAAATTGTGGAGTGTTCAATTGAACACCCAAGGGTGGCTGATGAGTTGCCCCTGCTCAAAACCAAGACACAAAATACATACAAATAAACAAGAATTTTTTATTCATCTATATTCTGTATTCTATTTTGCGTTTGTAGCAGAACTAATCTATGTGTTTTTCTTTGATGGATCAATCAAGCAGATGTATTCAACAAGTTTAAAGATGAGAAAGGAAACTTCAAAGAGTCCTTGATTGGGGACATGATGGGCATGCTAGGCTTATATGAAGCCACACATCTATTGAAGCATGGAGAGACTACACTTCAGGAAGCCATGACTTTCACTACTACTCACCTAAGTCCCATTGCCATGGCAAATGATGACTTATTAAGTAACACTCTCACACCACAAATTATCCATGCACTAAAGCAGCCTATCAGGAAGGGCTTAGAAAGGCTAGTGGCAAGACATTACATTCCCATCTATGAACAAGATGGTTCACATAACACAGCTTTGTTGGAGTTTGCAAAGTTGGATTTCAACCAAATTCAGTCATTGCACAAGACAGAACTAAGTGACATATCTAGGTAATTAAGTTACCATACCATGTACTTAATCAATCTAATTAATTTAAGGGTTAGTTATAATTGTGCTTCTCAAATTATGCACTTCATTTTATTTTAGTTCTTAATAGTTTAATTGTGTAAATTTCATTATCAAAGTTTTTATGCATATGAAAGTGGTCTCCACAGCTAACACTGGTATCAGAATTATGAGTATTTAAAAAAAAAAAACCTTACGTCCTTGACAAAAACAAATTAATTAGACTTTTGGTTTCTTAACTATCCACTTTGGGTCATTTTAATCTTCAATGAGTACATTATGCTTTTTTTTTTTTTTTTTTTTTTTCTTTTCTTCCAATTAAAGCTGTCAAAACTTTTATATTGGTGTTTACTTCTATTTATTCATTTTTTGATCGTCCATATTTGCCTCAAATCATGTTTGTCGACACTGCAGCTTGTCCCACTGAGCATATACTATCTTCTATGTTCTCTGAATCAGCCTGGCACTTTGCACGTCAAAGAAATCTGTTAATTTCAGCTGAAAATTGTGCATCCAATATAAATAAGGAGAGTTGTTGTAGTCCACAGCAGTTAACCTGAAAACCCAAACAATCATTGGGTAGGGTATACTATGAGGCATCATAAAAATATAGGCATTGATCATTGCTTGCACCTTTTAGTTAGTAGCATTTTTCCCCCCTTCTCTGGTTTTTTTTTTTTTTAATTTTTATATAACAAAATTTCATGTGTTAATGACTCAACTGACCAACCCTCATTGGATTATTGAGTGCATAAACTTATTGCACACTGTTTTGTTGTCATGGGGAACATTAGATCACAACATATGTTGAATGTTAACTGTTGACTTGCAGACTCTGATTGAAGAAAACCTAACTTGATTTTCCTTGAATTCTTCAGAAAACATAGTTCAAGGTCAACAATAGAGTGGTGGATGGGACTCTGTTTTTTTATATATATATTTTAGCAACACATGTAGGTGGTTCATAGAGCTATTATTTGCCTTTGGTGTTCTATATAGCTGGGTTATAGTGCATTAAGTAGGCAGGGTGAGCAATGAGCATATCAATTGTTTGGGTTAATTACAAATTACCCCATTTGTAGTTTTATCTAAAAACACTATACCCCTATCAGGTTTAAAAGTATACACATAATCTCCTTGGTTCTTGTTGGCATTAGTGCTAGTGATACATGGTATTTCTGTAATTTTTTGGCATCCTCTGTTATCCGTGTTGCTTATCATCAAGGATCACCTCAATTCTTTGAAGTTTTGGATTGTTATATGCATTTTTACTAAATTGGTTTATAAAATAAAATTATTTATATATGAGTTTAGATGTAATTGATAATATATTAATATTTTCCTTGTTTATTTTCTTTGCAGATTGGTTTTTGATGACATTTGGAAGCATACTTTTAAATGACGATCAACTGTTGAATTTTTTTTCCTGAACTGATACTTAATTCTAGTTGTAAATCAAGATCGAGTGTTATTTATATATATTTTTTTGTACTCAGCGTTAGTTCATTTTGGAATTTTCTATGATGTTTTTTTTTTTTTTATTGTACTTAATGGATTATTATTAAATTTGTTTGATGGATATATTTTCATTTATAATGTAAATTATTTAGTGAATTTTTTTGTGGAATGGTGTATAACAGCTACTGGATTCTTAGTACATTTAAAAGGCTATTGAGATATGAGCAAGGATATTTGTGAAATAATAATTTAAATTGAAATATAAAATATAGAACACGTTCAGTGACGAATTTTTTTCGTCACTTGTACTTGTTATTATGACAAAGTGATTATTTGTACCTAATAAATATTTTTTGTGACAAAATTTATTGCAGTTTATATATGAAATATTTGGTTGATTTTGTTGTTTGGTGACTTAAAATTTTGTCACACATATACATCTTTGCCACGAAATATATTTCGTCACCCATGTATGACTTTTGGAGGTGAAAAATGTCGTCATCTTTACATCTTCTTGTGACGAAATTATGAAATTATTTCCTCATCAATGATTAACATGTGTGAAAAATTTATTCGTCAACTAAAATTATAAATATGGTACTGAATAATTATTTGGTGACGAAAATGAAGATTTTTGGTGACAAAATATTGTTTTGTTGGTGATAAAAAATTTCGTCACTAAAGTAATATCATTGGTGACGAAATTATTTTTCGTCACGGTGGTTTTTAGTAACAAACATTCAATGATGAAACTAGTGACGAAAATATTTCCTCACAAATATTTATAGTGACGAAATTAGCTCTTTGGTGACAAAAAAAAAAATTCGTCATTCAAGACCCAACTTGTTGTAGTGTTGTATGGGGCGACATGTGAAGTTTATATGGATCACAAGAGCCTCAAATACTTTTTCACCCAAAAAGAGTTGAATATGAGACAACAATGATGGCTAGAATTAATCAAAGATTATGATTTACAAATCTTGTACCACCCAGGAAAAGCGAATACTATTGCAGATGCCCTCAACCGAAAATCAATTGGGAACTTGGCTTGTTTACTCATCGGACAAAGAGAATTGCTCCAAGAGATGGAAAAACTTGAAGTTGAAATTGTTTTGCGGGAACAAGGCGGGACTTTAGCTACTATTACTGTGCAACCGACACTCATTGAAGAGATTAAGGAGAGACAACAACAAGATGAATTCCTAAAGAAAGTGCTTGAGGAAAGAGAATCTAAACCAAGACCGGGTTTTATTTTTGAAAGTGGGGTATTGAAATTTCAAGGGAGGTTGTGTGTACCCAATGATGTTGACTTGAAGAGACAAATTATGCAAGAAGCCCACAGTTCAAAATTTTATGTTCATCCGAGGAATACGAAAATGTATCAAGACTTGAAGCTCGATTTTTGGTGGCCGGTAATGAAGAAGGACATTGCCGAATTTGTGTCAGCGTGTTTACAATGCTAACAAGTCAAAGCCGAGCATCAACGACCTGCGGGACTGCTCCAGCCACTTCCAATACCGGAGTAGAAATGGAAGCACATTACTATAGACTTTATTGTTGGACTACCTTGCTCTACTAGAGGTATGGACTCAATTTGGGTTGTTGTTGACCGTTTAACCAAATTTGCTCATTTCTTACCTGTGAAAACATTTTATAATGCGGATAACTAGTTACAATCTATATTAATGAAATTGTGAGATTGCATGAAGTTCATGTGTCCATTGTTTCTGATAGTGATTCAAAATTTACTTCAAGATTTTGGCAAAGCTTGCAAAAGGCATTAGGAACTGAATTGTGACTGAGCAGTGCGTATACCACTACAACAAGTTGGGCCTTGAGTGACGAAATTTTTTTGTCTTCAAAGAGCTAATTTCGTCACTATAGATATTTGTGAGGAAATATTTTCGTCACCGGTTTCGTCATTGAATGTTTGTCACTAAAAACCAACGTGACGAAAAATAATTTCGTCACCAATGAAATTACTTCAGCGACGAAATTTTTTGTCACCAATAAAACAACATTTTGTCGCCAAAAATTCTCATTTTCGTCACCAAATAGTTTTTCAATACCATATTTATAACTTTAGTTGACGAATAAATTTGTCACGCATGTTGATCATTGATGAGGAAATAATTTCGTCACAATAAGATGTAAAGGTGACGAAATTTTTCGTCTTCAAAAGTCATACATGGGTGACGAAATATACAAAATTACAAATATATATATACGTGACGAAAATTTTAGTCACCAAACAACAAAATAAATAAAAACCTTCATATATAAACTGCAATAAATTTTGTCACAAAAAAAAGTTTATTAGTGACGAATAATCAATTTGTCATAATAAGAAGTACAAATGACGAAAAAAATTCGTCACTAAAGTTGTTCCATATTTTATATTCAATTTAAATTATTATTCCACAAATATCCCTGCTCATATCCCAATAGCCTTTTAATTGTACTAAGAAATCCACTAGATATTATACATCACTCCACAAAAAAAATTCACTAAACAATTTATAGTTGAGGTCGAGTTTCATGTTTGGAGGTCAATCTGGATTTTCCAGAAATTAACCCACGCTCGAGCGGGGCTTTCACGCTCAAGCGTGAAGCCTGAGTACATGCACTTCTGCTCGAGCGGCGAAAGTCACGCTCAAGCGTGAAATACGTTACCCAGAAGTTTGTTGTTTTTGCAGTCCGCTCGAGCAGGGGAATCCACGCTCGAGCGAGGGCTGTGTCACACGCTCGAGCGGGGGTCAAGCGCCCGTCGAGCTTGAATTTCATACATCCAGCACTTTTTCTTAAGTTTGCAGTACGCTCGAGCGAGGAAGTCCACGCTCGAGCGAAGCTTCATATTTGCCATGTCGCTCGAGCGTGGACTTTACCTTCGGCAAATT